GGAAAAACCCTAGCTTTTCCTGTGAACTCCTGTTCAAAGGCCAGCTAGAATCAGGGTAGACTCTAGATGAGAACAACTTCAATAACTCCTGCAGTTGGAACAGCAACTTGTGCTCTCCTACTAGAAGGTGGTTATAAACCATAACCCATAATGTCTGCAAGACCCCTGCAAAGAGGTCCATGGAGCTGATTAAACATTAAGGTGCTCAAGATGAGAGGTTTGTTGCAGACGGGATCCATTAGGAATGTGGAAAGAGGGGTTTGTTGAGCACTGACTATTGAAGTCTTAGGGGTACCCAGATAGCTTTTGGCTCTGTAGGCAGTGCCACCCACAACAGCTGCCAGTGTGGTAAAATTAGGTCTTTTCTTCTCATAATTTTTTTTTTTGTGGGTAGCCTGAAGTTATTTTTGTAAGGTAGGGATAAGAGAACAGGTTCAGTATGTTCGTAAGTTCCTACTACTAAGCTGCTACTAACAGCACAGCCACAAAATTCCTGTTCCCAAAAGAATAGCTTTACAACTTCTGGATCTTTTCAAGCTTGTATGCATTAGCTACTTAAGTTTCAAGTCAGATATTCCTGTTAAGACAATCTCTTTGGCTAGCTATCATGATTATCTCAACAGAGAGTAACCTCTGAGTGCAGGGGGAAGTGAGAAAAGTATTGAATCAAATAAAAACTTCTTATGAGAGAAAAAAAATTATTTGTCAAATGAATTACCTAGTTCTTGGGTTGGTTTTTTTTTAACTTATATGAGATGAGGAGCAAAATACTATAAATAGAGGGGGATATACCATCACCAAATAAACAGGTTATACAGCTGTAAGAATTCATACCTGCAATGCTTCAGATAACACAGGTGGAGCTAGGGGACAGACAAACCAATTACAGCCAATAATTCAGACCAGAGCCCAGACAAGTCCTGTCAGTTCTGTTCACTGCATCATCTTCTGGAAGAGGAAAACTTTAATGTAATGAGAAATGCTGCATAAACTAGCTTTGGTAGCCAATTGGGCAGAAGTAAAAGCCGACTTCCATTTTGTCTACCAGGAAAGAGCTCTGCTGCAGACAAAAAACCAAAGTCATCTTCCCTCTCTCTGTTATGGCTGAGGAAAAACAGGATTGTGTCTCCTGAGTTCCTTCTCTAGTTGTTCAGAAGGGTTGGGAAATTTCTTTTGTAGCAAAATCTTCTTTGTTTGACTTGAAACCTTTTGATAAATATCTTGATAGAAAGGCTGACTGATGGAACTGTGTATTGTCTGGAGGAACCTGATTTTAGAAACTGCCTTTATATTCAGCATGTAACAGTATGCATGGCCAGGTTGTGATGCAGACCTGTGAAGTTGGTGGTATCCATCCATCCATCCATCCATCCATCCTTATGCTCAGGTTATTAGTTTCTACCATGGGCTATGAAAGCAATCTTAGATCCTAGTTTGCCCCCACAAACACTCCTGTGAGATGGACATTCTCCATAGATTTTGGTTTTTTCTTAATCTCTTCTGAAGAGAATCCTCTTCCCTAGAGTAGCAACGTTCATATCCTCACCTGCAAAAAGCTTCAGTGTCACACGAAAGGAGATTGAGAAGACATCCCTCCTTGCTAAGCCTGATCTAACAGGCTTCAGAGAAACTGCAGGAATGATCTGGAGTTGGGCTGTATTACCAGTGGCCGGGTAAATACTGGGCTGTCAGCAAGTCTGAAGTTCGCATGAAAATAGAGTTCCCTTACTTGTGAACCCTACTGTTGAAAGGCCAGATTCTCACACTCTTACTTGGGGCTACATTGGGTGCTTGATTGGTGATAGAATACATCTGGACTCCCTCCCTGGCAGACCCAAGCAACTCCTTTACAAACCCATTGTATAACCTAGAGAGAGAGGAGGAGGAGTTGTCTACACACCTGCTCCAGGCCGGATGGCTACAACCCTCTACCACTCTCTCCAGGAAAGCTCTTAGTGATCCTCAAACTGAAAAACCCATTTGAAGAGCAGCTATCAAACACATTTCTGATTATCTCCAATGGACCTTTAGCTCTCCTTGGTAAAAATCCCTTAAGGGAGTCAGATCAAATGTATACCTGTATCCCAGGAACACATGTCCATTTTCCAAGGGCTGCATAAGTGTGATCTCAAGCTGGTTGACCCCTTCTGGGAGGTATATTATTGCTGATAGCTCCATAGCTACATCCTTGCATCTCCTACAAAGCAGCCTGCTTAAAATTCTCCTGTATTTTATCTTGAATCAATCAGTATTACAGGTCATCTCTGTCTTTCCAAAGAGCCAGTGCTCCTCACAGAACCTCATAATTAGGTCTTGGTTGGATCTGAGCCTTCCCCTTGTGAGCTCGTTTATGCAGGATGTAGGCTTGGAAACAGGCAATTCTGAAGGCAACCTGAATATTTCCTGTAACGGTTTGCATGAAGAATGAAGTTCACTGCATCCTCATACTGCTTTCTGTATTTCCTTATGGAAAAGAACCTTAATCTTCATTTCCAGCCAAAGAAACGGCAAGGCCTTATTAAAGGGTTGCCATTATTTCTTTCACCTCTTGAAATTATTGATTTTAAAGCTCAGGAAAGAAGAGAATAATAATGTTGCTTTAGGTCAGACAGAAGATGGAGCAGGCACTATATAAACTCTTCCACATAAAGACAACATTGTCTGGAGCTGAGGTGGTTAAATTGCTCCAGACATGGGCATGATTTCAGCACAATATTCACAAAACATTATGGAAGCATTAAATTGTGAAATTTTCCCATTTAGGTGAATATTTCTGCCAAAAAGTCTCCCCTCAAAATTTCCAAATAAGGAAAATTCCTGAGTGCAATTAGCATGCTGTCTGCAAAATAATTACCTCAGAACATATATGTGGAATAAACCAAACTAATCAATCCTATAAGGTTGCCTGCTTTTGACCTTAAAAAGTATTGTGATTAATGAGAAACTAGTTTTAAAGAGATTGTATATATTTTGCTGACATTTTCAAATCCCTGTGTTCCCTTTTCTGACAATTTCTCCTATTTTAAAAAGGACCAATTTATTGCAGAGGCTTCATGGCACTGAGTCTCCCCCAAGCACAAACATGACAAGCTGTTCAATGTTAAGTTCTTCAAAAGCAATTTTAAAAACAATAGAAATTTTCCACTGTAATTGAGGGAGAGGCTCTCTTTACTTCAAGAATACTTCAAGAAGAATATTTTACAATGCCAGACTGAAGGAGTCTGAAACTGAAAAAAGCAGTTAAAGTCTGGTATGGTATATGTTGTTGTTCAAGGGTCTGTTTTAATAACTTTTAATCTTAAATACAGAACAATAGGATTTGTATAGAAATCCTCTGCACATGCTGCCAATGTGAGCGATAATGCAACAATTTACACCAAAGGCTGCTCTGACATTTCTATCCTCTAAACAAGTAATCAAAACTATGTATATGAGCTGGAGTGACTTCTTAAGAAAAACTTTGAATCCTCTTGCTTAACTGTGCCATAATTTTGGAAAATATAGTGAGTGTATTAAGATTTCAGTAGTATACGCAAAGGAGTTGAAGAAATAAAGACAGATCAAAAAAAGTGTGGGGAAGGCAGAATTATCCCCCGTTGTTATTTGCATCAAGCCAGTACTGAATATATTGAAAAACAACAGCCTTAAACACATCAGCTCACAGTACTTTAAGCCTTTTTCATGGTTAGCTATAAAAAACTTTCAAGCCATCTAAACTATCTGTCTTGGCACCAGAACTTGGTGTC